ATTGACGCGCCAATTTTTCCACCAGCTGTAGAGAATTTGGAACAGGACACCGCTGCAGCAGCGCAGCCAAACCTCAGTGCTGATGGAGCATTTAGGCGGCCTGCCTCTATTGGACCAGTGGGTTTTAGTGAGCAGAGGGGCTGCAGGGTGGGGGGTGTCAGGCTAGAAAACTGGACCAAAGTGCAGCCTGCTTCAAGGCTCCTGTGGCTGAGTGTGATTTACCGTTATCTCCAAATAGCACTTTCAAACCGAGTGTGGAAATGGCGTAAAATTTGCTGTCTGCAGGCTCCTGGAGAAAAAAGGAATCACATTCCTCAAACCTGATGCTTTTCAAGCAAAATGAATCTGATAAGTGCACTGATAACCTTGACATGTGACCATGGCAGCAGCCAGGGAGCATAAGGTTTTGCTGTGTGTTAAGTTTGAATTTGAATCTGTATTTAACAAGCAGTGAGAAAGTGTTCGTTTCATCCCAGTTGATAAACTTTTCCTCCCATTTTACGTCGGTCTGTCTTCGTCGTCACAGTAATTTCTGATGATGTCCAGAGAGCTTTTTTAAAGAAGCATCACTCACTTATTGGAAGGCAGTACTTCATGTTTTCCTTTAGGTGGTTCTGTCTTCCAGACCTGGGAAGCTGCTCTCTTCCCTCTGATTGAACAATGCGCAGCATGAAGTTTAAGGGTCAATAAAAATGTTTGAATGCCTATTTGAAAAAATACTCTGGTGTACACCTTTATAAATCTGTTGAACATTAATATTCACTCAAAAAATCTTATTTCATGAAATAATTAAGTTAATGTTGACACATTGTGGCTGTATTCTCATACTATTGCAACGTTATTCTCATAATTTTATCTTTCTTATTTTCTTAGATACAAGTTAAAAGCACATTTTGCAGTCCCTTCATTCTCAATTAATAGATTTATTGTCTGTGTTACATTTCAATCATTTATGGGAGGTCCCTGATAGTTTAGGGGCCCTGAGCAGCGACTTTGTTTACTTCTGACTCAGGCCGGCTGAGAGTTCGGTGCACTTAACTTCAATATTCAAACCAGTTGAAGACGATGCGATGCTTGCTGGGAGGAGGATGGCGACTGACAGAAACACTCAGAGTTTAGGACGTATTTTGACAGTTTTCTGGCTCAGCAGAGGCCTCCCCATCGCGTGTCTGAGCTGAGTGCATCATAACTTAACCATCACCTTCACACAGCATGGGGTGGGAAACAGATGCGATGCAAAGTGAGCCAGGAGCTCAGGAAGTGTTCCCTTCTCTGGTCTGAGTCCAATCATAATCCTGCATGTGTGATAAAACCAGAGTTTATAAATATCATAACACCAATAAGAATGTCATGTAGTTTAGACATATATATTAAAATGCCAGATTTTAGAGGTGTAAAAAATAAGAACGTAATAAATAAGCTCAAACCTGGTTTTCAACAAATAATCTGACATTTGTTGTGGTACAATTTAAAAGAAAAAAAATATTTTACAAGCTGAAAAAAAGAAAAATAGTTGCACTAATTTGTGAGAATGTTTGGCCACTATGTGTAGGAGAAATCTCAGATTATGAAGACATCTGCTGTATTTATCTCTGTGGAGGCGACGCCACAGATTATCTCTGGCCTTTCCTCTCATGCTTTGGGTGAGTTTTATGTTTTGACTCAGAAATACTGACAGTTTTCTACTGGATGTTTGACTTGATTTGGAACTTAGCAGAACTTCACTAAGATTGATAAAACCTGAACAAAAGCAGCCAGAGAGGATGAGGCTGCCACCACCGTGCTTCACTCTGATTATATTGTTCTTCCTGTGATGCCAAAGGTCAGGGAATTAACCCCTTAACTGGCTCTATCCCATCCATGGGACAAATCTAGATTTTCTGAATACTTTTTCGAATGAAGAGTTAAATGTTGTTTCACAAAAGTTTTAATCAAGATTACGAATGTCGTTAAATGGCCGGTTGTGGCTGATTTTATAACATTACATAAACTATCTAAGTTCTAAAAATTAAACAATGTTTAACATACATTTCCGTTTCAGAAGGAATTTTTTCAAAGCAATTTGGAACAATACCAATAAAAAGTGATTTTCACTGACCAATTAAATAATATTTAAGCACAAAGCAGTCAGTCAGAGGATCATAAAACCGAGCTGCAGGCCGGGTTTGACCCCATGTCTGGACTTTGACACATTTGGTTTGGAGGATTGACATGCAATCAGGTTATTGCAACTTTTTATGTCATATTTTTTTCTGCTATATGTTTGTTTTGTCCACAGTAAATATTTGAAATAATTTTACATTTTAAAACTACCAAGTTAACTCTTAAAACTAATTTAATCACAAATAATGAAAAAAAAAAACCTGCAAGTAAACAACCATTGATCAGTCAGCTGATCAATGACGAGATATTTACTGAAGTTAGAGCTGTACAGAAGTAAGTAGCACACACACACACACACACACACCAGTCGCTGCCAGGCCTTGGCCAGCACACTCTCAGCCTGATTATTCAGCCTTTTGTCGACTGTTTGATTGCTTCTCTCAAAGGGCAGAGCCTGCAGTAGCTCACATGCAGGATAATTAGTGTTGTGATTGTACTCAATAACCACAGGCCTGTTTGCTAAAGCCCATAGGCCACTTTGGTCAGTTTGACTTGATGCACACCAAAGGAACTTGCACTCACTGAGCCAATCAAGCGAATTATTGCAGGTTACAAGGGTTTTTGATGAAGTTTTTTTCATGCAGCATGTGTATGACAAGACTGCTGATTCTTAAAAAAAAACTGCTTCACCTTCCATCTGGTGAGTCGCCTGATTTATATTCTGTGGAGGGCAGAACCTACAGGGGTAATACAGAGAACCGCCATCTGATCACTTTTCCCTCGACTGGTTCAGTTGATGCGCTGCTGTCAGTGAGAGTTTGACTTCAGCTCATTTATTTTGATTTAATTTGAGAAAAATTGATTATTCAAGAAAAAAGTTTGCAATTTTAGGCTTTTAATGCTCTTGTAGGTTTTATCCTTTCTGGTGATTCTGTTGTGTGTTGACCAAGCCAGTTCATATTATAGCTAAATCACCTCAACGAGATGAATACATATACTGATTTATACTCATTTATGTCTTAGTTTTGAATTGGAAAGGAGTAGAGTGCCCTCTCCATGTCGGGGACGAAGTCTTGCAGTGAAATGTTTCAGGGTTTTGTTCACAAATGAGGGAAAAACGGAGCTGGTGTTGCATTGGTGCTGCATTGGTGTTGCAAATTTGTACCAGTTGATCTACATTCCCAAGATTAATGAAGGAAAATGGATGAGCAACAGATATTTAATAGACTGATCCATGTTTAAAATTTTTATTATCAATCTTGTGAAGTTTTGCAGGACATTTGCTGCAAAAATGTAAAATACTAAGGTATCTTCAAAGCATTTTAGTCTAATTTCTAGTGCAAACTAAACAAAAATACCAGGTAAGATTTGGTATTTTTACAGTGTCCATCACATAGGTGGTCTCTGTGAAAGAAATAATATTTTTATTAGAGTTTTATTTTTAGAGTAAATGAGGCTGAATATAAACGCAGTCCACAGTTATTTCAGACTTTTCTGCTGGTCTGTTTTAAAATCCCATCAAAATTTTATCAAAATGTGACTAAAAGTAGCAAAGTCCATGAAGCGTTTATATTTTATCTGTACTTTGTTATTTCATGTTTTATCATCTGGCCTCACGTTGGTTCCCAGATGAGGGTTGTGAGATCAGGGGACGTTTTCCTCCAACATGTTGGTGTCAGAAATCGCGATCCCAAAGACTTTAAAGAATATTGAGTGCTCCGTCTCTTTTGCCTTCCAATTAATGAATAGATGTGGGTAATTATTTGACTAATACCTCTCTCCCATGACATGTCCCATATCCATCACTAAGTTAAAATTAAATTAAAATCAATACATCTGGTAGACTCGTAGGACATGACTGGTGTTTTCTCTGCGTGTGTGTGTGTGTGCGTGTGTGTGTGTGTGTGTGTGTGTGTGTGTGTGTGTGTGGGTGTGTGTGTGTGTTTGTGTGTGTGTGTGTGTGTGTGTGTGTGTGTGTGTGTGTGTGTGTGTGTGTGTGTGTGTGAATAACAACTATTGATCCCTTCTGGGGAATATTCTTTTTTTATCACCTCCCCTCCTCAAAATGCACATACATTACACAACGAGATAAGAACCCCTCCCTCTAGCTACATGCATTAGCAGCTGTTGGAAAACCTTGTTAGCTCCCATCGTTTCGTGCGACGATATAAAGCAGAGCCGTTTCTGATGAAAACATTGGAGGAAAAAAGCAAACGGGTTCCTGAGTTTGGAGAGTAGCTGCAGCTCGTTGTGACCGGAGGGAAGGTAGCGGACTGGAGATAACGTGTGTCAGCAAACACTGACGGGGCTTTATCACCACCAGGTTTCTGAGTGGAGGCCGGCCACCGAATGCTCCTCCACACATTCCTGCAGGTCAGGGCTCAGGGTTAGCAGGGTGTTTGTGTGTGTAAGTGTGCAGAAGGACTTAGCGTGTGTTTACACTCTTAACGGTTCCACCGCTCGTTTTGGTTCCCCCCTTCACCATCACCGGCTCTGTTTGCTCCAACCTGTGATAAGCCAGACGGAAAAACTGTGTTTGCTGTTATAACCATAATCACCATTTGTTTACCCTGATCTAAACTTTGTGATGAATCTCGGTTGAAAAGCAACATCTGGCGCTGGAGGAGAAGAGTGGAGCAATTCTTTGTTTCTTTTAACTGAGGGGTCAAACTCAGCTGCTGAGGAGGAGGTGAGAGTTTAGCGCTCAAGAACAGAGTTAACACAAGCATGAAGGGGTGTACTTTCTTTTAACAGATGACATCTGAGCTGCAAATCACACCAAGTCACACTATGAAGCTTTTTTCTTTTTTTTAAATCTCAGCTCTTGACTTGGCAGTTGTTGCCCTCGAGTTGCTTTAAGTGTTTTCTTCTTGGCAGTAATGCTGCTGGTCTGCCTGCTGGTCCTGCTGCTGCAGTTCCAATTCCCTGCCAACAGATGTCAGCCTTTCCAGATGATAGTCTCTGGAGCGGTGGAAAGAAAGCAGCAGGTCCTTTGCCTCGGTAGTCTGCTCTGAGACACAATTAGCAATGCAAAAGACATGCTGATCCAAGATTTACTTTGATACACATCATGTATGTTAATGTGATTCTTTATTGATCCCCCAGGGGAAAGCTTTTTGTAGGTCAGCACCCTCTGGGGAGGTCAGAGCATGTGAGAGGGGCCTGGCTGGCTGGTTCTGTTACCCCAACTTCTGGGCTGAAGCCCTGGTCATGTGGCTGAAAGTAGGTAAGTACAGCGCCTCACTTTACCCCAAAATAATGTTTTTTATATTACTAACACACTTCAATGTTTTGTATTACAGTGCAAAATATTAGAAATATTCTGTATTGCACCACAGTGAATAACATCAAATACACAAATATAGATTCTAAAATATAAAAACAAAGTAGATAATAAAAATATTGTACAGTAAGGGCAACAGCGCTGGCAACTCTTCCACCAAATGCAAATCCCTGTTTTTCAACATTATTACAACCAAAATTTAAAAGGTCATGATTGCATGCTGGTTCTAACTTCTTTGTTTCTTTAATTTTATTTGAATAGTTTTGGTTGAGCATGTTTCTCTCTGCTCCTTAATGCTGTTTTTCTGGAAGAATTTTTACTGCTATGTTTTTATTTTCAGTAGTTATGATGTGTAACTGAGACAACAAAGTTGTTTTTTTACAACTGGGAGCAGCTGACCAGCATCTCAAAAGCACAAATAATCACTTTTTATATATTTTTGTACTTCCATTTGGGTTTCTATTGCTTCTAAAAACAGACCAAGCACTTTAAAAAACCACCCAGAAGTTTTGTTTTGCAATAAGTTAATGGTTTTGGTGTTTGGAAAATGAGCCATTTCAAAAATCCCCTCATTGACTGAAGTCACATTTTACTGAGCAACTCCAGTCACTGCCAGCACCACTACCTAGCAACCTTAGCAGAGCTTCAGCATATTTGATCAGCTGGTTTTACTGCTGTGTGCGCTGTACAATGGCTGCTGGAAAAGACAAGTGTTTTGTTATTGAGTGTGGACAGCAGCACCTTATTTAGATTTAAAGTGAGAAGACACCCTAAAACAATGGAGCACATTAAATTCTCAGAATGATTTAGTGATTTTGTTCAGATGATAGATCATCCTAACCTGGTCAGGGAAGCATAAGAGGTCAAATTAAACTCATGCAGGATGAATACCCCACACTGTTTTGTGTTATAAGACCGCATAACATCCCAATAAAATCTATAGAAGGTTGTAATGTGACAAAAAGTGAATTCACTCAGGGTGTGAATACTTTAGAAGGCTGCAGCAGTGCCTGGAAATGCTGGTGGTGAGTCTTTCCTCAGGGTGAGATGACTGTTCTACTCATAAAAAGAACTATTCACTCTTTGCATTGCATAATGCCAAAGGCTTAATCCTGTTTAGCTGCAGGGCCTGTGATAACTCCTGCTAATCATGGCCATCGTTATCGTGTTTATCCAGCAGTGACAGATCAGGGGGCGTTAAATGCACGTCACATACTGCTGACATTTTCTGGATTTGTGCAGCATGTTTTCAGAACCAAGGTTTTTTGGGCTGATATGTTTTGTTGTAAAAAGAAAAAAGAATGAACATTAATCTCTTATTTGGCTGCATGCAGGAATATTAGATGTCTTGGCTTTAACACAAAAGTGTATTTTCTCTGTTTCGGGGCCTGTGAAGCATTAAGACAAGCAAAAAAGAAAAAAGCTACATTATGACTTTTATTGTATATTCTGTCTAATAAACATGAACATATCTGAGCGGTTTGCATGGCAGCTGCTGGTCTCGGTACAGCTGTGGGCCTTTGATTTCTACTAAAAAGCAGTTGTTGGGATAATGCTTGTGAGCTCATGCACAAACACACAAATCCTGGCTTTGTAAGCAGCGCAGAGTGCAGGGTAAGTCTCTGGCTTCCAGGCAAGAGCTTGTCTGAGAATCTCAGTAGCAGGAAGGCACAAGGTGGAGACCTCTTCAGATCTGGCTGCTATTAACAGTCTTGTGATCTGCTCATGTTTACCTACTCTCACAGCTCTGCGACTCGGGGCTGTGCTGCTAAACATGGCAGCGGGGCCCAGTCTCTTTGAAGTCAAGTTGATCCCTCAGACTACACTCTTGATAATTGTGCCGTCTTTCTTCTCCTGCGCTCTGTCCTCTTTGACCCGGTCCTATTACCTTCTTGCTTTGTGTGTGTGTTTTTGTTTCATTTTCTGTTTCACCAGATGAGATCTTAAAAGATGCAGATGGGGATTTTTTTTGTTTTGTTTGTTTGACTGTATGCTTTGTCATATTTGGTCTGATATAGAAAAATAACATGAATGAAACAACAGCTGGAACAACTTAGTAGCTAAAACTGTTTATATTTCGTCACATTTCATTACAGCCTCAAACCAAATGTATTTGATTGGGTTTGCATGTGATACAACAACACCATGAAATGAATTGTTGTGAAATGGAAGAAAAATGATGCGTGGCTTTCAGAAGAAAAATATGACATAAAAATCTGAAAAGTGTGGGTTAGGGTTGCATTTGTGTTGTCCTGGAAACAAAAATATTTTTCCAATCTTCTTGGTTACTTCTCTAACTAATACTGTCCATTACTCAGTAATTGTTACATTGCTGTGGCATAAATGCTGCCTCTCGTCCTATCAGAAAGTTGAGCACTGCAAATATTTCAATAAATTATTTAAACTCCGAATTTACAATAATGATTGAAAAAGATTAGAATTTACAATTAAAAGATTATAATAAAAATGTATTGGACAGGAACAAGAAGATTTTCTTTTCTTTTTGTTTTTTCTTATCTTCTTTCCAATTTTCTCAGAAGACCCACTGGTTTAAGTGTAATCAATCAGTATTTTAAAAAAGAAAATTATTGGTCTAAAAGCTTTCAAACAAGACTAATTTCTAACAAAGAAAATGAAACTAGTCATTTTTATTAATGTTCAAATACGAATTTAATATTTTAAGAAATAATTTAACTTATGGCTTCAGTAATTGTACAAAAACAAATGAGATTGTATGCAAAAAAAATCTGAGGTATTTTTTTTTTTTATTGTCAGCAGACACACCACACTTTTCAGATTTTTACTAGCTGAAAAGAAAGGAAGTGTTTTGTGTTTCCCTTTACAGTGAAGCAGTACTTGGTCTTGGCCTGGCTATAGATGGCAATGAGAGAAAATGGAAGCAACACACAGAGTGAAGCAGATATGCATTCAGCACCAGATGTCAACATGGCCGTTTGTTCATCCATGCCTGCTCATAAAGACGCTGTAATGACATTGGATTTGGATTAGTTTCCTTTTTTTCGACGCTGTAATGATTTGGAAGATGGAGATTTCCCCCTCCTGTGATGCTTGTGCAGCGAGGAACACCTGTGTGTTGTTATAATTACTTTGATTACACCTACTACGGGATGTGACAGCAGCGTGGAGAGCAGGTCCAATTTAACCGCCGCTGAATTTCAATTTCAACTAAAAAGGAGAGAAAATTTGTTCTCTTGAAGATTTGATCAGCGGAGGGATATTCATACGGCGACTTGCTGTGATTTCTGAGCGTAATATGCAACAGGGAACTGCGAAGTTCAAAGTTCCTACTTCTTTTTGCTTTTGATCAGTTTGGCGTGATGGGGATTGGTCTGCATCCAGACGTACGACAGTCCAGGGGGCCTCGCTGGCCAACTCTGCTCCCCTGAAAGACTTCAGGTGCCTGATTCAAACAAATGCTCACAAACAGAAACACAAACACCAGCGGGATGCTGTGTGTGTATGCGTGTGTTTCTGTCTCTGGGTAAGAGAAGCCTGAGGATGGCAGGTAGTGAGCTGCGTTGGAGTAGAACATGCAGTCATGGGCATCTCCTGGTTTATGATGCTAGTCAGAAAACTGACAAGCCAAAGCTGCTTTTTATTCTGCAGCTACAATGTAAATGGAGCTCCCAGCCTTCTCCTCATGCAATCACCCCAGAGCCACTAACTAGGCGGCAGTGGTTTGGTTTCCCTCTAATCCTTCTGCACACTCTCTTTTTCCATCTGTCTCTCCTGGCCTCTAAACTTTGGGGTTTCTCTCTTTTCTTTTACGGCTCCCTCTTGTCAAGTTACACAGCAGATGTATCGTTCTCTTCAGACAGCAGGAACTTGCTGCAAAACGCAAAATCTTACCTGGTAATTTTGGTCTAGTTTCTAATGCAAATATAAGATTTTGTGTTTTTGGACTGAATGTTGTACATAACAACACAAGAGTCATAAAAATGATTTTAAGCAAGATATAGGAGCTAATAATTCTGAAATGTTGATGAAAAAGTACTTATTTCATTTGTAGATTGTTGCAATTATGGGAAAAATGTCTTATTTAAGTGAAATAAGAACTTTTGGTAAGATTCAGAGTTTTTGCAGTGGGATAGTTTCCCAACACAAAGAGCAGTTATAATGTCTAACTGCTCCAGAGATGGGTTCGAAACGCAGCATCCTGTTGATGATGTGGCACTTCAGTGTTTCTCTTTGCGTCTCTTCTCGGCTGATTCATTTTGCGTGGCAGAGCAACAGAGCAATTTAGGTAGACCTGCAATTTCCTTTCTACAAGCATTAAAAACTACAAAACAGTGCTTCAAAAATAACTGCTTCTTCACAACAGCCCGAATTTAAAATTCAAAATATTTCTCTTTAAGAAAATCCTGCTTTTAGTTCCTTTTGCATGTGTGTTTTCATCTGGGTGAGTCGTTGCAAACACACCTGTGATTAGTTGAAGAAAATTGCAGGCAAATAAATTGAACAAGCGAAAGCAGAAATTACAGATGACAGCACTTTGAGATGTCTGGAAGCAGTTTGTGCAGCGGGGCTGTCATGCTGCCGGCTCTCCACCAACAGAGTGGTAAAGGGGGACAGATGTTGGGGGTTAGTGGGGCCCCTCTGGGGCATCCACAGAGATGGTTTGGCAAGCAGCGAAGGACAATGAAAGGAGGAGACGGCGAGGGCACCTGACCCGATCCGGGCCTGAAACCTGTTCAGCTTCATCCGCAGTGAATGGAAGGTGCCCTTTGTCATGTCCAACACTAATTTACATTTATATTTACAAGTGGGATTCTGGAGAAGCCTTTTGGATGGCGCTTGCATTAGCTGTGGGAGGAAAAGGTTTGAAGTTAGAGTGTCTTGTGTGGAATAAAAGATGGAGCGCTTCAAAGTGGAAGGGAAATATAAAAGGGCATTCTCAAGTGTCCAGTTATCAATTCCCACTG